AGGCAGAGGTTGCAGTGAGCTGAGATCACGCCATCATTATACTCCAGCCTGGGTGACAGAGCAAGTCTCAAAAAAAAAATCCTGCCAGTTCGCACCCAGGTGCCGGGCACTGTAGTGGAAGGAACATCAGGCATTGCACCTGCCCTCATGGCCACTTACCTTCTATACAGGGAAACAGATGCAGGAATTAGAGCTCTGCGTAATTCTAGGTAGGCTGGGGAGATCCATTGCTGGTGAAGGGTCAGGGAAGGCCTTTCCGAGGTGACATTTGGGCTGAAGCTTGATAGAGGACATATCAGGAACATGTCCAGGCTGACAGCACAGCCAGTGCACGGGCCCAGGGACAGCCACACGTGATCTGTGTGGAAGGAAGAGGGGCAAAGCCAGGACAGCTCGAATGGAGTGAGCAATGGGAGGGCAGGAGATGAGGTGTGAGGAGGAGCCGGGCCCTACCAGGCAGGGCCTTGTTGCTTCATGACATTTAAGTCCAAGAAACATCCAGAACAGTGTTTTGTTTTTTGGGGTTTGTTTCTAAATCTCTGCTCTTAATGTTTGGGGGGATGTCCAGTGTTGCTTATTTCTCATGATTCCTTACCTCGGGGAGTCCAGGTGGTCCAGAACTTGGACCACCTGCCTAGGCCCAGGCCCACCTGCCTAGATAGGCCACCATTGCCCAAAACCTTGCCCAACATCCCTGGGCAAAGCTTGGTGTCCAGCCCCCTATGCCCCGGACACCCAGGAGACCACCTCGGGCCTCTGTCGCTCATGGAATCACCCTTCCTTCCAACCTGTATCATAGTAAAGCCTTCCGCTCCAAGGAGTAAACGCCTGGCTTTCAGGGCCCAAGATGGAGGGATGTTGGTTACCCTTGATGTCGTCATGCACCTGGCCTCTTCCTCTCCTGCTCTATCATCCTCTGTGAGCAAGTTTCAGTCTCCAGCTTATGGCCTCATGGTTGCAACACGGCTGCTGTGGCACCCAGCAGCACACCCTCAGGTGGTGTCTCCATTTTGCAATTGTTGGCTTTCCTGCAGCCCTGACTGGGGGGCCTGGCACAGGCCTGGAAGCGCAGGACCTAGGAGCTGTCCCGATAGTACTGCTATGGGGAGGCTGAGGTTAGAGGTGGAGTGCAGGGGGCTCACAGAGGGTGACAGCAGGAGAGGAAGAGGCCAGGTGCACAATGACATCAAGAGTAACCAACGTCCCTCCAGCTTGGGCTCCAGACGTTTACTCCTTGGAGCAGAAGGCTCTACTATGATACAGATTGGAAGGAAGGGTAATTCCATGAGGGTCAGAGGCCCAAGTTATTGGTCCCAGCTGCTGGGTGGCCTGGTCCAACCAGGAGCAAAGGCACAGAGCAGGGCGCCCTCTAGGGCAGCAGAAAAGAAATGCAGATCTCTCCCAGGGGTCTCCCGGGAGTCTTCATCTGGGGTCAGATGAGTCCCAGGCAACAGGAATGGAGATTGCTTTGATGTGCTTGGACCATCTCTCCTGTCCTGGGCATGTTGCGGCTCAAACAAAGAGGTTCTCTCAGCAAGAAAGGCAAGTGGGCTGGTAATCAGAGAGGATCCAGCATGTCTGCCACTTCCCTCTTCCAAATGCCAGCCTCTGTCCTGGAAGGACCATACTTTCTCCTCGGACAAACCACCTGGTTAAGAAGCCATTGCCGGTGGTGGAGTGTGTGTGCATGCGGTTTGGGAGTTGACAGGGTCCCAGCAGGAAGATGACAGCATGCTTAGATGGGATATTCCAAAGAGTTTAACCAAGGGATCGTTTGCAAAGGAGCAGCAGGGACTGGGAAACCACCGGGACTGGTGCAGAACCCCAGGACTGGCACCACAGGAACTGTTACCACCCCCAGGCCACAAGGTACAAACAGAAGGAACAAGAACCCAAAAGGGCAAATCCCAGGGAGAGGGTAGTGCTGAGGGAGCTATGGCCCTGACTCCCACACAGGAGGGAGTAAGAATCAACACCCTGACTTTACTCACCCCCTGCAGGGCACCCCATTGTCCAAATCCTACTGGAAGCCAGACTGCATAGAAGCCCAGGTGACCCCGCCTCCCAGTCCACCTCCTAGGCCACAGAGCAGGGCAGAACAGGACTGAGAGGGTTCCTGGAGAACTGGGTCCCTGGAAGGAAAACAGTTCATCTTTCACTGCAACTCTCCCCCTGCTTGTACCCCCACATCTACCCTTGGCCTCCCCATAGCAATACCATCAGGACAGCTCCTGGGTCCTGAGCTCTCAGGCCTGTGCCAGGCATCCCAGTCAGGGCTGCAGGAAAGCCAACAATTGCAAAATGGAGACACCACCTGAAACCCCATTTTGCAGATGACCCAACTGAGGCCTGGATGCTTGCCCATAGGAGGGGTTCCTCAGCGGGATGCGGTGGCTCACTCCTGTAATCCCAACACTTTGGGAGGCCAAGGCAGGCAGACAGTTTGAGCTCAGGATTTTGAGACCAGCGCTAGGCAACACAGCAAGACTCTGCCTTTACAAAAAATTTTAAAATTAGCTAGGTGTGGTGATGCATGCCTGTAGTCCCAGCTACTTGGGAGGTTGATGTGGCAGGATCACTTGAGCCCAGGAGCTCGAGGCTGCAGTGAGCTGTGTTCACTCCACTGCACTCCAGCCTGGGTGACAAAGCAAGGCCCTGTCTCAAAAAAAAAAAAAAAAAAAAAAGCCTTCCTAACCAAGCACTGCTTATATGTCTGCCACATGGCAGGCCCCATGCTAAGCATTGTCTCCATGTGAGCTACCTGGATCTTCAATACAAACCGGGAAGAGGGGACTCCTTAGTCTCATTTTCCAGATGAAGAAACCAAGGCTCAATAAGAAGTCACTTGCTCTGGGTCCTCCAGAGAGCAAGTGGCAATGAGTGGCCAGCAGACCCTCAGCACTGCCACCCTGGCTTCCCCAAATGAATTGGCACAACCGACTCTCGGGCAATGGGAAGAAATGAAGAAACACTCTCACCAGCAAGCCTTGTACAGATGTCCCCTCTGACTAGAACACCCTCCCCTTTCATCTGAAACCTTTCAGGGCTTATCCAGGAAGCCATCCCTGCTCCGGTAGGCTGGATCAGGAGCCTGTCCGGGTCCCCCGGTACCCCTCTTTACCCCGTCATGGCTGGGTCCCTGCCTCACTTGCCTCTCACTGTCTTGGTCATTCTGGGCTGACACTGGCGTGCCTCCTTCATGGACTTACGTGATCATTTTCAATAAGCTAGGTCTGGAGCTTAGAAAATTGTTGAGTTGGCCAGGTGTGGCGGCTCATGCCTGCAATCCCAGCACTTTGGGAGGCTGAGGCAGGTGGATCACTCGAGGTCAGGAGTTTGAGACCAGCCTGGCCAACATGGTTAAACCCCATCTCTACTAAAAATACAAAAATTAGCTGGGCGGGTGGTGCGCACCTGTAGTCCCAACTACTTGGGAGGCTGAGGCAGCAGAAATCACTTGAACCCAGGAGGCAGAGGCTGCAGTGAGTGGAGATCGCACCACTGCACTCCAGCCTGGGCAACAGAGCGAGACTCCGCCTCGAAAACAAAAATTAAAATTTAAAAGACAGAGCTTGGATTGCTTCTTGGCCTTTTGGCTAAGAATCCAATGTAGAACAGAGCTTGGCCAGTGTGCCGGGGTAGGGTCCTGAGCCCCTGGCTGTGTCAAGAGACCCCCTTTGGGCCAGGTGCAGTGACTCATGCCTGTAATCCCAGCACTTTGGGAGGCTGAGGCAGGAGGATCACTTGAGGTCAGGAGTTCAGGACCAGCCTGGCCAACATGGTGAAACTCTGTCTCTACCAAAAATACAAAAATTAGCCGGGCATGGGGGTGCATGCCTGTAGTCCCAGTTACTCGGGAGGCTGAGGCAGGAGAATCGTTTGAACCCGGGAGGTGGAGGTTCCAGTGAGCCAAGATGGTGCTACACTGCACTCCAGCGTGGGTGACAAGAGTGAAACTCCATCTCAAAAAAAAAAAAAAAAAAAGAGAGACCCCCTTTTACTTTCCAGACTGTGGGAGAGAGGGAGAGGTTGTCCTAGGCAGTCACTAGGGTCTAGATTATTAACAAATTAGTATTTTAGTGCCTGCTACACCTGAACAGTGCTTCTGGCTGAATGTTAGCCCTGGGAATCTGAAGATCAGAGAGGTGGGGCGTCCTGCCTGAGGATGCACAGCCTGGATCCTCACTTTTTTTTTTTTTTTTTTTTGAGACAGAGTCTCGCTCTGTCGCCCAGGCTGGAGTGCAGTGGCCGGATCTCAGCTCACTGCAAGCTCCGCCTCCCGGGTTCACGCCATTCTCCTGCCTCAGCCTCCCGAGTAGCTGGGACTACAGGCGCCCACCACATCGCCCGGCTAGTTTTTTGTATTTTTTTTTAGTAGAGACGGGGTTTCACCGTGTTAGCCAGGATGGTCTCGATCTCCTGACCTCGTGATCCGCCCGTCTCAGCCTCCCAAAGTGCTGGGATTACAGGCTTGAGCCACCGCGCCCGGCCTGGATCCTCATTTTGCCCTGATGTATCCAGATCTGCTGTCCTCCCTGCACCCTACAGAGCAGGGCAATCACAGCAGAGGGGCCCTTCAGTGTCCTCAGACAGCTGCTGTGATTTGAATAACCAGGCAGGCTGCTGGATGTCCCCTGGTGACTGATTTGCCTGGCAAACAGACCCTCAACCCCTGGGAGACACTCAACCCCCCTGGAGCCTTGTTCCCTCTTCCTATGCCCAAAAGCTCCCCAGGCCCATCTCCCCTTGCCTGGCCCTGCTTGGTGGTCCTAGTGCTTGTCCACCCCTGGAAGCTGGACAGTTACCTCCAAAACCTGAGAGAAGATGGGCAGGTCCCTGGGCAAGAGTAACCCGAGCCAGCTTAGTCCACTCCCAGGGACAGTCAGGAAATTTGCATGAAGAGAATGAGGTTCCTCAGCGGCTTCCCCTCCTTTCCCACCAGGGATAGTCATCCTGGGGCTGAGGTCTGACAGCAGGTGGAGGCAGCCCCTGTGTGTGGAGAGCCTTCCAGAGGGCATGCCCCGCGCCTTCCTGGTCAGGAGTCGGCGTCCACAGCCTCCCAACTGGAGCCACCTGCCTGACCAGCTCCGGGGAGATGCCTATATCCCAGGTGGGCCCCTCACCATGCTTGGAGGTAAGGGGCAGGAGAGACGCAAAGCGTCACCATCTGGCTTCTCTCCTCAGACTGCAGCAGCCTGAGGAGGCCACCGGCACAACAGTCGTCCAGTGTCAGGGATCCATGGACAGCGGTGAGTGTGTAGCTGGCCAGCAAAATCAGCTGTTTCGCTCCTGCCTGCTCTCAGCCTTAATGAAGCTGACAGTCCCTTGCTCCCCAGGCCCATCTGCACACGCCCTCCAGCCTCCGGACCTGTCTGCCCCTACTTCTCTCTGTTGGGAATGCCTCTCCTTTCCTAGTAGTGAGCTCTCTACCGTTAGGTCCCACCCCAGGCACCAGGGCCGGCAGCCACAGGGATCTCTCTGTCCAGCGGGGCAGAACAAGATTCAACCCCACATGTGGATGAACCGCTTTATGTCAGGACATGGGACAACAGGAGTGCGATGGGAGATAAAGGCTATTTCAGCTGTGCATGCGTTGGAGGAAGGAAAGCGCCAGCTGGAATGTAGTATGTTCATGAAAGCCAGGCACTGTTCTAGGGATGGGCCGTTATATTCAGCGGGAATAAGACAAAAATCCACAATTTTAAGGAGCTTATATTCTGGTTGGGGGCTGCAGGTATAGACAATAAAATTAGCCAGCCTGTAATTCCAGCACTTTGGGAGGCCGAAGCGGGTGGATCACTTGAGGTCATGAGTTCGAGACCAGCCTGGCCAACAGGTTGAAACCTCATCTCTACTAAAATTACAAAAATTAGCCAGACATGGTGGCACATCCCTGTAATCCCAGCTACTTGGGAGACTGAGGCAGGAGAATCGCTTGAACCTGGGAGGCAGCGGTTGTAGTGAACTGAGATTACACTACTGCACTCCAGCCTGGGTGACAGAGTGAGATTCTGTCTAAAGAAAAAAAAAAAAAAAAGCCAGGCATGGTGGCACGCGCCTGTAATCCCAGCTTCTCAGAAGGCTGAGGCAGGAGAATCAATTGAACCTAGGAGGCAGAGGTTGCAGTGAGCCGAGATTGCACCACTGCACTCCAGCCTGGGAAACAGACCGAGACTCCATCTCAAAAACAAACAAAAAAAACCCCAGTAAAATTAGAAAAGTAGACCGGGCATAGTGGCTCACGCCTGTAATCCCAGCACTTTGCGAGGCCAAGGCAGGTGGATTGCTTGAGGTCAGGAATTCGAGACCAGCCTGGTCAACATGGTGAAACCCCAACTCCACAAAAAATACAAAAATTAACTGGGCATGGTGGTGCATGCCTATAATCGTGTAATCGTGTACTCATGGGGAGGCTGAAGCACCAGAATCGCTTGAACCCGGAAGGCAGAGGTTGCAGTGAGCTGAGATCGTACCACTGCACTCCAGCCTGGGAGACACAGCAAGACTCTGTCTTTAAAAAAAAAAAGTGTATGTCACATCAGAGGATGGGATTGGTATAGAGAAAGTAAGGGCCAGGGGATAGTGAGGGAAGGCCCTGGAGAGTGACAGGTACACACACTAATCACTGTCTCCCACCTGCCTTCCTAATCTTCCGTGGTGGCTCCGGGCACTCTGTAAATACCCATTTGCAGAGTAACAAAGGGTGGGTGGGGTCCAGCCAGAGGGGCTAATAACTCTTGCATCCCTCCAGCAGCCCACACAGGACAACCTGACCTCTGCTCCCAGGGGCCCAGGGACGCTGGGCTGCCCGCTCTGCCCTAAGGCCTTCCCTCTGCAGCGCATGCTGACAAGGCACCTCAAGTGCCACAGCCCTGTGCGCCGCCACCTGTGCCGCTGTTGTGGCAAGGGCTTTCATGACGCCTTCGATCTCAAGCGCCACATGAGGACTCACACTGGTGAGCAGTGGCAGGGACAGGGAAAAGTTGCTGGGCCCCAGGTGGGGATGGAAGGAAATGGAGAGAGGTGCTGGGCTGTGGAGAGTCCGGGGTTTGTGTATGTGGGGTATGGGGAATCGAGACATGATGTCTCTCCGACCCCAGTGGGTGGGTGTAAGGTGGCAGGAAAATAGGGGCCTGTCAAGGGATGCAGAGTGCAGACGGATGCCGGTTATACGATTCAGGCTCCAGATCGAAGGGCAAGGGAAGGCCTCCCTCTCCATCCCCCAGGGGACAGAGCATCCTGGTGAGGGAGGGTGGGGACAAAGGTGTCTGGCCCATGTCTGCACGGGGTGAGGGTAGCAGATGGTGCGTCATGGGTGGAAGAGTCTGAAGAGCTTGGAATAGGGAACGCAAATGCTCAAGGCTGGAAAGCAGGGTAGGGGCGCTTTAGTCCAGAGCCCATTGCCCTCTCTGTCCAGCCCTCCCCTCTGCGCCCATCTGTGCAGGGATCCGGCCCTTCCGCTGTAGTGCTTGCGGGAAAGCGTTTACGCAGCGCTGCTCCCTGGAAGCTCACCTTGCTAAGGTGCACGGGCAGCCGGCCAGCTACGCTTACCGCGAGCGTCGCGAGAAGCTGCACGTGTGCGAGGACTGCGGCTTCACCAGCTCCCGGCCGGACACTTACGCACAGCACCGCGCCCTGCACCGCGCAGCCTGATACGGTGTGCCAGCGTCCTCCCCACGAGGCAAATAAACACAGGAAACTCACGCATGGAATCTGGTGTTTATTACACTCGGGGGAGAGGGGAGGTCACTCGGTCCAGCGGTGGCCACAGTGTGGGGCTGTGCACACGTAGTAGAGGCGCATAGCGTCCTGGCAGAAATGATGCATGGTTAGGAAGGGTTTGGACCCAGGAGCGCCTCACCCCAAAAGAACAGGCAAGAGAACTTCACCAATACGTAAGGGTCCGGCCCAGAGTTCCAAGAAGCGCTGGGTCACCCATATTGATATCCCCGCCCCGGGGAAGGACCAAACAAGCCCCAGATACTTAAGAAGCCCTCGTGCCACTTACCTCGGCCCGGGCACTGTGTGACTGGAAGAACACAGCCTCCTTATGGCCACACCTGAGGGGGTGGGAGCTCGGTCACTGGAAGCTTGGCAACCTTCCCTCCTCCCTTCGCCCAGTGAGAACGAGCCTCACTTTACCTCCCCAGTACCAGCTGAGCGCTCACTTTTGGCACGGGTGGTCCTCGGTCCGCGGCAACGTGGGGTCCTGGGACACGTCGGCGATAATCTGGGTCAGTTCGCTGCAGGCACGCGGGGGTGCAAAATTACTCTCCGACCCAGCCTCCAGAGCCAACACGCCCGCCCCCAGCTCAGGGCCCGCCACTCACTCCACTTCGTGCGTGATCTTGTTGACATAGATGCAGCTGTTGTCGGCCTCCTGCTGGTAATCACAGTTCCGGCACTGCCAGAGGGCGAATGTGGGGGTGAGGGGGTCATGGCGGGATTCCAGATAAGACTGGGAGGAGAGGGCAGGGTGATCCCGGAGGGTATGACGACAGGACTGTCTTTGGTGATGGGCAGGAGAGTCAGGATCACTTGGGGTGCAGCGGGGGGCGAACAGGGAGTCCGGTCACAGGGGCGGGGGCAGGGCGGGGCCACTTGTGTGGACCGGACGGGGAAGACCCGAGCGCTCACCGCGTATAGCAAAATGCGGTTCTCCTTGTCTTCCTTGGGGTACAGCATGTTGTTACTGTGGGGAGGGGGAGGTGCCAGGGGTTAGTCCTGGAGCCATTCATCGCCCCATTTCTAACATCACCCGCTCCCTCCGCCTCACCATTCCTGGCAGAAGCGAATACCCACGAAGCCCGGTTCGTAGGTCCCGTCGGGCTCCATGGCGACGCGCAGCCCGCCCAGCCTTCTGCGCTTGCTCCGCCGCGCTACAGGTCGCGGGAGGGGCCAGGCCTAGGTGCTTCGCCAAAAGAGGGCGGAGCTGCGCACACGTGCTGGTTCCCCGCGGCCTTGGGCGCGGCTCTCTCCGCGCGGAGGTTTCATGGCTTGCGTCAATCTTTTGATATTCTAGAGTAATTGCTTCCAATTTTGGGGCATCGCCGCCTTAGTTTACAGAATAGTGTGGATCTGGGTGCTAGAGCCGGGAAAACGATGCGCACTGGAAGCCGCAAAACGCTGAGCACCCAGGGAAGAAGCCATGGCGCTTGACTAGGCTGAAGGCCAGCGCGCATGCGCGAGTTGCCCTTCGCGCACTGAGAGAGCTCTTGCCAGTCCTACCTCCCGGCTTCAGTCTTCGCCGCCTGCTCTGGTCCTTTCCCGGTCGCTATTGGAAGAACCGTGAACTATGGAAGGCCTCTCTGGATTGGCTGGGCTAGCCCAGGAATAAGGAGAACCCTCTTTCTGGCGGTGGGGAAGGGACGGCGGCGATTGGCGGACGCTCCTGGCAGGAGAGCGCAGATTGGTCAGCCTCGGAGCAGGAGGCGGGGCTGATAGCCCAGCAGCGGCGGCGGTGGCGGCTGCGGAGCGACCGCGCTGCAGGCCCCGGCAGGGCGCGGCAAGATGGAGGTGACGGGGGTGTCGGCACCCACGGTGACCGTTTTCATCAGCAGCTCCCTCAACACCTTCCGCTCAGAGAAGCGGTACAGCCGCAGCCTCACCATCGCTGAGTTCAAGGTGTGGCCATAGGGGCGGGGTCCGGAGGGGCGGGGCGAAGAAGAAATGGGGGGGTTCCCCGAATGGGGAGGCGGGGAGGGACCGGGGAGCGACTGGGCGGCCCTGGCGGTGATCCCAGGCTGCGGAGTCTGGGAACTCGGTCGCGGCGGAGCGGGTCCGGAGAGAACCCGAGAGTGAAGAGACGAGGGGCGGGTCCAGCGAAAAATCCGACGGTCCAGAGGGCGGGGGCAAGAGGCGAGGGGCCGGAGTGCGGCCTCGTGCGTCCTGACTGGGGGGTCTTTTGGAGGGACAGGGACGTGGCGATGGTCATTGATGCAAGGGGCGGGGCCCCTGGCCGCCTCCTCCTCACCCTGCCTCCTCCTTGCAGTGTAAACTGGAGTTGCTGGTGGGAAGCCCTGCTTCCTGCATGGAACTGGAGCTGTATGGTGTTGATGACAAGTTCTACAGCAAGCTGGATCAAGAGGATGCGCTGCTGGGCTCCTACCCTGTAGATGACGGCTGCCGCATCCACGTGAGGACTCTACCTGGGACACTTCCCCGCCCCACCATTCATTTGGCTATTCAACAGGCACTTGCTGGACTTTGCCCTCAGTCATAGATAGGTCCTGCCCCCGTGGAGCCTCCAGTGCAGCCTGAGGAGTGACAGACCCATCTTTAGACAGGAATAGCCTAGAGTGGTTTGGGCTGGGATCAGGAAATCCCAGGGGGCTGGGGCCACCCAGGAGAGGTGCCTGACCACCTGGGACAATCAGAGAGGGCTTCCTGGAGGAAGGGATGTCTGAGCTGAGGGATGAGGAAAGGGTAACTTAAGAGAAAGAGGTGGAAAGGAGGGAGCAGGGGGTACAGAGGCCTAGAATGTCAGGTAGGTCACAGTGAGTGACCGGGCTGGACAGCTTGGGAGAAGCCAGAACACAGAGGACTTCTTTGTGCATCCGCTCACCACGTCCTTTCTGTCCTTTTTTTTTTTTTTTTTTGAGACAGTGTCTCACTCTTGTCACCCAGTCTGGAGTGGAGTGCAGTGGCACGATCTGGGCTCACTGCAACCTTCACCTCCTGGGTTCAAGCGATCCTCGTGCCCCAGCTTCCCAAGTAGCTGGGATTACAGGCACCCACCCAGCTAATTTTTGTATTTTTAGTAGAGACGGGTTTTCACCATGTTGGCCAAGCTGGTCTGGAACTCCTGACCTCGAGTGATCAGCTCACCTTGACCTACCAAAGTGCTGGGATTACAGGTGTGAGCCACCAAGCCCGGCCCCTTTCTGTCCTTATTCCCTCCCCACCTCACTCAGTCTGTAGCAGCCACATTGCTCTTTGCACATCCCAGGTGAGCACTGCCTCTGGATCCTCTACTTGAATGGTTCTTTTGTCATATGCCTGTGTGCCTCACCCTTCCTTCCTGTCTTAAAGTGTCACCATTCTAGCGAAGCCTTCACTGGCCTCAGTGTTAATGTTCACCTCATTCTTTTTCCCCTTCTTTGCTTTATTTTAGATTTTTGTGTTTACCAATGATTCCCCTCTGACACACTCTGGATTTCTCTCATCTGGTTTATTTACTCTCTGCCTCCCCGGATTCGATTGCCCTGAGGGCGGAAATTTTGATCACTATAATTCACTGCTGTGTCCCCAGTACTTGGAACAGTGCCTGGGACAGGGAGGATAGTCCGTGAATCGTTTTTTGTTTTGTTTTGTTTGAGACAGAGTTTCCGGCCCTTGTTCCCCAGGCAGGAATCCAGTGGTGCCATCTCAGCTCACTGCAACCTCTGCCTCCTGGGTTCAAGCTATTATCCTGCCTCAGCTGCCCTGGTAGCTGGGATTATAGGTGTGCACCACCACACCCGGCTAATTTTGTAATTTTGTATTTTAAGTAGAGACGGGGTTTTACCATATTGGCCAGGCTGGTCTTGAACTCCTGACCTCAAGTGATCTGCCCACCTTGGCCTCACAAAGTGCTGGGATTACAGGCGTGAGCCACCTCGCCCAGCCCTGTGAATCATTGTTGAATGATGAATTGAATCCATAAAGTAAGACCGCAAGGATAATGTAATTATCCCCATTTTGCAGAAGAGAAAACTTAGCTTCAGGGTAGAATTTATTTATTTATTTTTGAGACGGAGTCTTGCTTTGTCTCCCAGGCTAGAGTGCAGTGGTGTGATTTCGGCTCGCTGCAACCGCTGCCTCCCCGGTTCAAGCGATTCTCCTGCCTCAGCCTCCCGAGTAGCTGGGATTACAGGTGCCCGCCACTACGACCAGCTAATTTTTGTATTTTTATTAGAGATGGTGTTTCACCATGTTAGTCAGGCTGGTCTCGAACTCCTGACCTCAGGTGATCCACCCGCCTCAGCCTCCCGAAATGCTGGGATTACAGGCGTGAGCCACCACTTCTCTTTAGTAGAGAGGGTTGAAGGGGTGGCCTGCCCCTCCACACCTGTGGGCATTTCTCATTAGGTGGAACGAGAGACTTGAGAAAAGAAATGAGACACAGAGACAAAGTACAGAGAAGGAAAAAGTGGGCCCAGGGGACCCATGCTAAGCATACAGAGGACCCACACCAGCACTGGTCTCTGAGTTCCCTCAGTATTTATTGATCATTATCTTTACCATCTGAGAAAAAGGGAAGTGGCAGGATAATAGGATCATATAGGGAGAAGGTCAGCAGTAAGACATATGAATAAAGATCTCTGTGACATAAGTTTAAGGAAAAGTGCTGTGCCTTGATATGCATAGGCAAACATCTCCGTAAACCTTTGTAGTGCATAAAGAGCAGCATTGCGCTAGCAAGTCCCACCTTCAGCCCTAAGGCGGTTTTCTGCTTTCTCAGTAAATAGAACATACAATCGGGTTTTACACCGAGATGTTCCATTGCCCAGGGACGGGCAGGAGACAGATGCTTTTCTCTATCTCAACTGCCAAGAGACCTTCTTTCCTCTTACACTAGTCCTCTTCAGCACAGACCCTTCACGGGTGTCGGGCTGGGGGACGATCAGGTCTTTCCCTTCCCACGAGGCCATATTTCAGACCATCACATGGTGAGAAACCTTGGACAATACCTGGCTTTGCTAGGCAGAGGTTCCTGCG